ACATCAACACAGGAAAAGCAGCTTAAAAAAAAAATGTACTAAGTGGACACAAATGCATCTTTGTATGGTGCACACTTACATGTGCTATGGACTTGCACGCACATCCCTGCACGTTCTTATCCCACAAAGACAAGCAGCTGCACATGCAAGTGTGAGGAAGGAAAGCCACACAACCCAGAAAAGCTGCTTCACATCTGGGTAGCAGGTTTAACAATTGGCTCCAAGGGGAGCCTGTTCTTGAAGCAAACTACTTTCTTCCTGAGTGGCAGGTCTCCTCATCCATCTGAGCATGGACGAGGCAGCTTCACAATTGAACACATGGCATCAAACTCAGGCAGAAGATAGCATGCTAAGGGACTGTACCAAAGCAGCCAGAGTATCCAAGGCCACCTTTCCTTTGTACAAAGCATATTACAGCTGAATTACTGTTACTGTTTTCCCTCAGAAATATTTGCCTATCCTACAGTAAAGTCTTGACCTACTGCAGCTCTCCAAAGTGGTTAAGATCCCGCTTGGGGAGCCAGTGCAAGCCAGAACTACCATGTTTTTATGAGACCACTAACACTAAATGAAAACTTTCCTTACTCTTTCATTCAAATGCAGTTGTGACAAGACTGAAGCAGTCATTGCACAGCCACACAGTGTAGAAGAATATCATATTGTGGGCTACCCATATTGTTGTCTCCTTCCCCATATTACAACCCAGGGGCTTGTAAGGGTTTCCTCACCCATCTCCCTATGCTACCTTTGCAGACCACAGCTCTCTTTTCCTCCCCAGCCTCAGGGAGTGCTGCAGGCTGGCCCTTCTCTCTGCCATGGCAAGAAGGAGCTTCAGGTGGAGAGCACGAGGGGGTTGGTGGCTTCAGAGCTCCTCAAATGAAGCAGCTCTATTTCTAGAGCAAATGAGAAACAAAGCCAATAAGCAGCATTAGAAAAAGAGATAGAAAGCACTTGGGGTGTCACAAGCTCAGGATGAGAGGCATTGAGGGAGCTGTGGGGAGTGTGGGAGGGGGTTAAGGGGAAAAGCTGATCTCATTGCCTCCCAACCAGACAACATCAGGCAGGAAACAGATGTGCAAGAAACCACAGAGGGATACAGCAACAGTAGAATTAAGTCTCCAGCAAACAGGGGAAGCTAGGACACACTGAGCTGACCTGCACCCTGAGAACGAGGCATCTAATCTGAGATTTGGCTTTTTGCAGTCCTGGTGGCACCTCCTATCCCAACATCTAGACACCGTCATACTAAAAATGAAGGAAATTATTCAGCCTTTCTCCGAGTCCCACCTGTCCCATTGACACGAGTAGAAGCACTATGTGTTTTTCTCCTCTGGAAACCAGGCTGGTTATTGAGAGGCCAAAATATGGCTCTAATGTTAATCCTTCAGGCCTAATATCTCTTAGCTCCATTGCACCCTTACAACACTTTATTGAAGTTTGACACAGGAAAATGTTTTAGTAGAGGAAATTAGCGCTAAGTTCCTCCTGCATATCCATGCCCAAAGCCTGACACTGCTTTCTAGTGAAGCTCTGATGCTCCAAAGATCACTTGCCTCCATGTGTGGATTCAGTGCTGGCAGCAACAGGAGAGGGACTATGTGAAATCAGATGGCTTTTACTCATTGGTATTGCCAGCCACCATTCTTTTATGTTTTATGTGAGCTTTTCCTCAAATTTACTGCTATTTAAGTCATTGTTTGAGGATTTTAGTGTGAAGGAAGAAAATTTAATTTTTCCCTAAGTTTCTAGCCCTCTTGCCAGTAGAAATACTTGAAAACATAACTCAGATGCACAGTGACATTTCAGAAAACAGAAAGCAGAAAAAGAACCCAGCAGTGATTTTTATTTTATCTCATGATTTTTGTGGCCTGAGTCATAATTTTAAATGCTTGGGAGCACTGATAGCAGTCTGCCCCCATAAGGAGCATGACCAGTCTCTATGTAGAGACTGCCAGCAGGAAAAGGCCAAGTAGGGTCAAATGTGGTAGTGGCAGGAACTGACTTGAAATACAGTAAATTCAACACCTCCAACCTTCAAACCAGCCACCAGGCAGCCGCAGCTGCCCATCACCACTGACCTGGGTCAGATCTGAAGAATCAACAGCTTAGGCCTAAAGGCTTTGTATCACATTTTTAGTCTTCTGAGCTACCCCACTGTACCTACTAAAGTCTTCCGACCTACACCGCTCTTAAATACTTTCTAGTCCTGCCACAGCTTTTATTGTATTATCATAAAGCTCTTTTATAACAGAGCCCTAGGTACATCTGTCTGGTAAGGGAGACAGCAGGATCTTTTCACCCTTTGCTGAAACGCAACCATCTCTGAAGCGGACCATAGCAAGTTATTAAACAGTTAAATGGCAGGAGAGGAAATGCTGATACCTTAAGCAGAATATCATTCTCTCCACTGGAATTTGGCAACAACACAGGGACTAAGGTCCTTGCAGAAAGCGCAAGCTGCTCTTCAGCAACCGCAAGCATGTAGGGACTCGAGTTGTGCATCTCCTCCACAAAGCATCACACAAGTTGTGCAGCACCCCCTAACTGCAACGACCATGTACTAATCCAGAGTGAAAACAGCCAAACTGGATTGTCTGCACTAGCCTTGGTGATCCCTTTGCCATCCCCAGCACCAGCAAAGCAGGTCTCTGCTTCTCTTCTCCTGTGCGAGTGTGCAGGACCAGTCAGTCACACAAAGCAGGACTGCAGGATGGCGTAAAGCAGACCCAAGCATGAAAGCACAAGCAGTCTGACTTGTGTCCTGCCTGTGCTACAGACTCTTCTTCTTTTCCAGTTAACCCTTCTGGGTGCATTTTAAAACCAGCTTTCACAAAGGTCCACAGCAAAACATTTTCTGGACAGCAGCCAAAGTGCTCTCACCCTCCTCATCACTCCCAGATACCATGAACAGTCTTACATCTTCACTGTTTCCAAGCAGGGAACAACCAGAGCCTCATCCCACCACTTAAACACATAGTACTAGAGCAGAGAGAAAGTTATTGCTTTACGTCTCTACCAAAGCCCCTGCTTGCAGGAGCACTGGCTTGTCACTGGAAATAATTCTTAGCAGGACAATTCAACTATCCCCAAATCAACCATCTCTCATACCCTAAATGCTCTTCTAATTTTGTTTCATAGTTACAGGTTGCAAGTTTGTGATGTCCTGGTGACATCTGAACCTTCATTTCTTCCCAAGATGTCACTTTGGCGTACTTGGTCACTTTCTTATTGACCCTGACAGCCCTACCAGCAAAAAAATTAACATCTCTAATTCTCTCCCTTCTTCTCTCCCTGTCCCAACAAATTGAATTGTACCAATCTAACTTACACCCTTCCCAATAAGCTTATAACAATTGAGTCTTTCATTTCTGGATCCCACAGCACTGGGCAACGGGATGTGCGATTCAGCAAATAGCAGTAGTGCATAAAGGGAAAGGAACTTCATATTCTCCCCCACTGCTCCTCAGCACGGAGAGATAAGTAGGTTGGAACTGCGAACCATCCCACAAATGAGAGCTGAGACAATGTCCTCCTTTCTTGTGCCAAAAAAAATATTTTAAAAAACTATGGGATTTCGGGTAATAGATTTTGCTGTTCTGCCTTCCCTGTGTTGTTTTTCAGTGTTCCTGTAAACAGCTGTAAATAGTTCCTCCACCGCGGCAGCTCATGTTAGCACTGGATGGAATTTTTCTATCTGTACCTCACACTGGCAAAGTGGCATCAGTTCATTAAGTCTGTTAGTTTTGCTATTTCAATTCAATTGCCATTAAGGGCTATGTAAGTTAAAAGATACCGTAATTGTTACGGACGACTCACAATGAAATTGAATGACTGTTTTTCCCCCATACCTAAATAAATACACATATATAACATTTTAGCTTAGTGATATGTGTAGTGCTCTCTTCACTGTGCAATGGAAAAGACTACTGTTTGTAGTCCATCTCTCTGCCAGTGCAGTTCCACACAGTACTTCATCAGCCGTGCTCATCAGCAAATGAAAGACTTGATTGTACAGCCCTCCCCATACAAAGCTGACATTGCTGCTAGAAGCTTTTTTTGCTTGGAGTAGCCTGACATTGGTAAAAGTTAGTTAATTCAAAATGGAACATAATGCTCATATCAGGGATGGTAACAGGCATGTATTTATTTTTCCTCTTGCTAAACTGCAGGTCTTTCTGTATGCCAAACTCTCAACTGCTTCTCTCATTATCCAACCCTCTTTAAGAAAAATTGTTCTGCTCCTTCCCTCATCCAGGACTGACCATTTTCAAGCTCAGGAGCCTCTGATCTTATTGCAGTTACCTTTTGTCTGAGCTACTATATTCTCATCCAATATCTGGGGGCATGGAGGTCAGGGGGAGGAGAAGAGGAGAGAAAGATAACAGGCAGGGTAGTGAAAATATTAGCTCAGCTGCCCTTTACACCTCACACCCATCCCTACTCCATCCCACCCCCCCAGTCTCTATCCTGTCTCCATCCAGCAGTGAAAGGACAATATGGAACTGTAGTGGAGTCCAGGAGGGGCAGATGGGACGTTCCCAGTTCCTCCCTACAGCCCTGCAACACTCTAGTCTCGTGGACTTTGGAAGGATTTCCAAGTCCAGCAGGAGGCAACGCTAAGCGCAGTTCTGATTTCCAAACCTAGCTCCTTAAAACCCTGCTTCCCCTTCCACATCCAGGCAGATGGGAGAGGGCATCACAACATACAGCTGGCTGCCTCTGTCCACACTTAAGCGGCCCAAGAGCCCTAGCCCAGTCCTCTCCCCATACGCAGCGCTACTCATGCAAGGGTCATACAGATGCGTCACCAAAGCAATCTTCCGATTGTTCATTCATTGTGAGCAACTGGGCAGTGACTCCACTTCCCGGGGATAAACCAGCTCCAGGTTGTCTAGCCCTCAGCCTTGGGAAAGGTCCGGTTTGCAGTCCTACCGGTAAAAAAAGGGGGGGACGCGCGCTCTGCTCCTCCGCTACCAGAGTGAGAATAAAGAGGCATTTACCATCCTGCCCAGAGCTCTCCAGATACTCCGTCAGGTCACAGCCAAATGCGCTCGCGGCTCCCTTCCTCTTGAGTTTCTGCTTGGCTCCCTTGTTCTTCATGAGGTTAGTCCCAAAAGAGGTTCGCCCCCCTCCTGCTTTGCCCCCCTCCCCCCGGCCTCACGCTGGGCGACAAAAATCTTGCTCTTCTCAGACCACTGCCTGTGTCCCACTCCCAGGGAGTAACATCGGGGGTCCCGTACAGCGTCCAGCTGGAGAAGTAAACATTAATCCCCACCAGATGCTGGGCTGCTCCTGTGGCAGAGGAAGGTCAGGGCGAGAGGAGGCTCCCCAGCCGGCAGCAGCAGCGATCATAGCCCGAGCCCGGAACGGTTCTCATCAGAGGGAAGTGGGTGGTGGATGGGTGCCCGCATCGGAGCTGGCAAGTTGGGGGCAGGCGATGGTGGGGGGGACGTCTTTCCCTCGGTGCAGTCCCGGGACCCTTCACGGCCACCTTCTGGGTTTCATCAGCCACGCTGTCACCACCTCCAGCAGAAAGCGTCCCAGACTGGTCTTCCTTCTCTCGGCTTTTGGAGGAGACTGGAAGTTCAAACAGACTAATGAAAAGGGACTGGGGAAGAGTCTGCACAAGGCTCCTCTTTGGCTCCCCCCCTTCCTCTCCTCCTATCTTTGGACAGTTAGAGGAATGAGAAGCCCAGCTTCCTGTCCTGACTCCCGCTCACTCGCTCTCTCCTTTCCCCCGTTTTACAAATCCTAGGATTATCCAGCTCAAAAAAATGCTGAAAGGAAGTTAGCTGAGAAGGGGGGCGGAGGACGATTTTTGGCAGCAAAGTGCGTGTGTGCGCGTGTGTGTGTGTGTGTGTGAGCGCAAGAGGCTGAGGGAAGGCGGGGAGAGGAGTTGCGGGACGCGGATGGGGACAGGGGGAGGAAGAGGGAAAGCCTGTCCTGACAGTCGACAGATAACGGACTGCCTGAGAGGAAATCACTGCGAGCCAAGCCGAGCCGCAGCCCACGGCGCGGTCAGGCGCTTCCTGCACGACCAACGCTCAGCTCTGAAAAGGCCCGAGGAGGGGCTGGCGAGGAGGAGAGAGACCAGGAGCCACTCCAGTAAATCTCTGCCTCTGTTCATTGAGTCCTTCGTCGCAAGGCACCTTCCTGCCCTCGAACATGACTCTTGTCGCTTCACGATTTGCCTTCCTCTACAGAGGCACAGGCTGGAGCTACCGAAGTGCAAAAAGGGGGCAGAAAGTTGGGAAACTAAAGTGGGGGGAGGAGGGAAACCTTCAGCTCCCTCCTCCCCAGCTTCCCAGCAAGCAGAAACAGATGCCGTCCGGGCATCTAAGTTCATGTACTTTCGAGTCAACTCCCCAGAAAAGGCTCCCCTTGACCAACAAAGGGGTTTAAAGACAAGAAACAGAAATCACCCAGTAGCAGCAAGAAAGGAAACAGGACGGGTCTGCCCTCGGGTCCTGAGTCTTGCTGCCCCCTCCAACTCCTTTCTAGTTTAATCTTCAGTAAATGCATAGTTCTGCTTGTAAGAGCAGTCACTTGCACTTTTTCCACATTTTTTATCCCAGATATTCAACCTCTTTACACGACTGGATATGCTGGTGGGCCGCACGCATCACCTAGGGAGGCAAACTTAATTCTGCTAAGGCTTCACTGCCCCCTCTTGCTCTGTGCCAAATGTAACTGTGTGAGTCTGGGTGAAAAATAAACAAACAAATGGAAAACAGGAAATTGCAGCTTTTCACCAAAAATCAGACCAAAGACAGGGAGAGTTATTTTGGTTTGGAGGAAAACTGGCCAGGAAACAGGGCAAAGGACTCCCTTAACCCCCCTCCCTCCTCAACCCTGTGCTCCGCATCCTCACGCAGCAGAGAAAACCCCATCTCCTCCCACAGACCCCTGCAAACTCACCACCTCACCCCTTTATTTTGACAGAGTCATTTTTCAGAGAAATCAAGCCTCCGAGTGTGATCCGACCACTGTCAAAAGCAATTCAGGTTCTGTCTGTTGGTATGGTAACTTTTTTTTTTCCCCTCAAAAGTGTTGGATGTTATCACTTCACACACAAGAAAAAACACCAAGAGCCCTAGTGAAGGACCTTATAACTCCTATTGTGCAGTTTATCACCATAATTATCATTATTATACCCGTTCTACAGCCTGCTGGCTGACAGGTTGAGGAGAAAATGATTTGCAGAAGGGTGCCAGAGATGTCTGGCCTGTCAGCTCCCAGCCTCCTGCTCCCGCTCCCACTCCCAGGCTAAGGGGGAAAACGGAGCTCTCGCCACCAGACTGATGGTTGTTCTCAGGGACCCTCAGTGCTCATGAAACACTTAAAACATCCTTGAATTTATTCTGGCCTTCTCACAGCACCTTGATGTCGAGTCAGCGCACAGGATCCCTCCCTGTACCGGCGTGCCGCCAAACGCATCGCGTGCCGCAGCGCATCCTGCCCGCCCGCCCCAAGGGTCAGGCTTCACACGGGGCGGACAGACAACAGGACTCTCAGACCTGGGTGTCTCATGAGGCTGTCCTCCCACTGCATGGGCGGCTGGCTGCCTTCTATAGGAAGACAAACCCCTCTCTTTGCCCCCTCAGGGAGGAGGCATGTCCCGTACACACCAAGCCTTCTTCCGCGTGGCTGAGCCCTAGCACCAGGCCAGCGGCGGGGAACCGCTTCACCACGGCAAGTAACCACACCATCTTCTTTGAAGTCCTGAACTCCCCGCTGCAGACACCTCCCTCCCTCCATGAACCAAACAGAACATTTAAACTCCCCGTGCCGGTCTCCTCCATCACCCTATGTCAGACGGCATCACTAACAGGGTCTGTGTCCACAGTCCTCGCCTGTCCTCTCTGCCTGGTGACCTGCTGCACCACACTCCTGCCCTCAACTCCATGCCCACCCTCATCTTAGATACAGTTTCCCCTCTCCTCCCTTGCAAGCCTACCCAAACAGGATGTCTTCAATAGAGGGTGGCTTCTTTTAAAAATAAATAAATAA